TAAATAACAGCGCGTGGGCGTGCAATATCGTGCGGTTGTGGCAGCAATTCGGCCAGTTTCAGCACCTTCCTCTGCCCTGCGGTATTCTTTAATACCCGTCCGGTTCACATTAATCCCCTCTCCTCTAGGATGAGCTTCTTCGCCTCAAAATTCATCTTTATTTGCCTTTTGGTTTATGTATTGCATGGTCCTGCCTTATTTTATCTTTCCAGTGCAACTTAACCTACATTATCGAAATCAAAATAAATTACTATTTAGCATCAGAAATTAAGTTTTCGCTATAGGTACTTGGTTAAATACTTACTGCCTCGTGTTTAGAACAAAATAATGAAATATACGAGGGAGAGCCAGCAAATAGGTCACAAATAGATGTAACACAGCTCTAATGTAAGTAACATGTTTCCTGTGTGTATCACTAGGTAGCAGCACAGTCCAGCTTCATGGAAGTCTTAGTAGCAGATGCCCATACCATGTTCAGAGTCTGGTTTTAGTATTCAAAATGGCGGCAGTGCTTGAGGAGTGTGCTGTTGTGCGTTTCTTGTGGGCAAAAGGACTCAGTGCAAAGGATATTCATAAAGAAATGTTCCCTGTTTACGGTTGGAAGTGTTTGTCGCGTAAAGCGTTTCACAACTGGGTCGAAAATTCTCTCAAGGACGTTAAAAAGTCGCAGATGATGCCTGGCCATGTGCGGAAGTGGCTGAGACAACAGTCAAAGACATTTATGCTGCGGGTTTCGACGCACTGGTAGAAGAATGGGACAATCAGAGTTGGTGGAAAATATGTCGGGGAATAAATTCTTTTTTCAGCTTCGAATATCACATGTTTTACGTTTTATATCCATATGTGGCCTATTTATTGGCTATTCCTGGTGTTTATATTTTATGTTATTTACAAATGTTTACCATAATCAGCTTGTTTAGAAAATTAGGGTGTTCAGTTTGAATTTCATATGAAGTACCCCTAGGGTTCTTATTTGAGCAGTACGAATCAAAATTAAACCCGATGGCCATTTTTGTTTGAGACTCTCCTAATATCAGATTGCGCAGAAATCTCATCATTATTATTTGAGCCGTAACATGCGGAGGGATACAACCTCGACATTATGCGACAATATTATTCACTTTATGTAGGGAACTCAGGAAATGAATAGATTGAGGATGTAAATAGAATCCATCGGAACATTTGGTCATGACCTTTTATTGCTGAATGCAACAGGACTGTGTGTGTGTGGAGGATTCGGTAGAATTAGAATTGGCAGGGGAAATAGAAGTGTGCAGAGAATACTCGCCGCAGTGCCACTTTGTCCACTACAAGTTCCACCTGACCTGATATCGAATCTTGGCCGCTAGGGTGCGAAGCCGGCGACTTACCGCCTCAGTTATGGCACTTTCAGATTAGTCAGTTAAGTTAGTTGAATATTTAGCTGCAAGGAGAGAGTGAAAGCCAAATGCGGCAGTAGACAGGAGTTTGGCCACACATGTTGCATTGCATGGTGAGGCTTTTCTGCAAACAAGTTACAGACTTCTCCGTGGGACTTGGGGCGCGAAAGAATAAATAAAAGATTGAAAGCAAGCAGACGACGTCAATGGTAGAAACCATCCACTTGGAAACACGAAAGAGAGAAAAGGGAAAGGAAGAAAAGAAAGAAGAGAAAGGGAGACGCTTTGGTATAAAATAAACATGGGATCGCAAACATAGAGGGTAGTAAGAAAGTGGAGACTAAGGTGGAACACTAAAAGGTAGATGGCATTGCGGTCGTTCGAGTTGCATCAAACTTGACGAACGAATATTCTGGATATTTTCAATTTTTTTTTTTTAAGTTACTAGTACATGAATAAGAGTTTCGTTCAAGAAAGTGGTAAAATTCACCCAGACCCCGCCAGCTGTATTGGTGTTATTAATCCCTAAAAAGGGACGAATTGGTAGGACATTGAAAATGGCGTTGGAGGAGCTTAATAATTTATAAGTCTGATCTTCACGAAATATTATTATGATTATCAAATCAAGGAGGATGAGATGGGCAAGGTATGCAGCGTGCACGAAAAGTGATGAATCCATGCATAATTTCAGCGTGAAAACCTCAGATCATTAGGAAAAGCTAGGCGTAGATGGAGGATAATATTGAAATGTATATTATTGTAGTGTATGGGTTGGATTTAGGTGGCTGAGGAGAGGATCCAGTGGCGGGTTATTTCTAAAGAATATCGTTTGCCATCTGAGCGGCGACAAATTCACAAGGGCTCTCCGTCGTGGAGATGCTGTAACTCATTGTATCACCACTTACAGGGTTATGCTGATGTGTTAACTAACGAAAACTTCTATAAATTTTGAACAAAAAACATTTGTGTTGCTGTCTTTGCTGTGAGTAGCGTGAAATTATGAAATCCCCACTAAATGACACAGGTTAAAATCCGCATTTGAGAAATGAGTATGTGGCCTTCCTTTTTCGGAAGTAAATTACAGAAACGTGATAACATAGTTTCAGTCTACAGGACCTAATCTGTCGGAATCATAAAATGTACAAGTTTTACTGCCGGTGCTTCGAAAACCTCTTATAATTCCACTGGGTACACGTTCGGATTTATGAGAATGTAGCCACTGTGAAGTACGTTGCTGTGTTCTGCATCGATTCCTCAATTTTATGGCGATTTTGTGACATCATTACTTTGCAGTAATCTGTATTCTGACCTTGTAGAAAATATAAGCAGTAAAATGTGTACCGATCAAAGGAAGTTCTAAGGAAACGCATAAAGATAGTTTACATGTCTGCAGAATTTTATGAGCTATCCCAAGAAGATGGGAAGCGAACGAAAATTGACCGCACCCATCAGAACGGAACGGATATTAAGGGAGCTCCTTATAGACCTGCTCTAGAACTGAGAATGACGCAGTGCCACTCAGTGCAGTGAGATGCAGGGCTCGTCACATTTGTGGTTTTTGAGAATAATTTAGATCATAATCGTAATTGAAATCTGAAGATATTTTGCGAGATGCCAGTGTCAGTAATTTCTTATGAAATTGTGGAAGAATGACCGTCTCTATGGTCTAGTGGCCAGAGTTTCTGGCTACAGATCCAGCTGTCCCGGCGCTACCAGATTTTCTGAGAAGTAGTTGGTCTGGAACGGGGTCCACTCAACCTCGTGAGGGTAATTGAGGAGATATTTCAAGGAAATAGAAATCTAGAAAACCGAGATTAACGGCCGTGGGGAACCGTTGCGCTGACCACGTGACACCCTCTATGCGCTGAAGTTGGTACGAACTGCGCTGACAAGCGGCGGTCGCTCGGTCGGTATAGTTCGCTTGCGGACTACAGGCCACGGAGTTTGTTTTGGTTTTTGTTTGTTTTACTAATGGAGGAATGTTTCTTCCGTAACGGATTAGACTTTATGTCCTATTTCGAAATAGAACCTATTGTATATGAATTATTAAAATGTTTGTTACGACCCCTCTAACGTGAAATCGACCTATCTCAAGACGTATACATGTTGTCACATGTACGCATGACTGGTATTCTGAGTCCTAGAATCGATTGATTAGATTCATTATGCGTCTCTATTACAATTTCACCTAGTTACAACAGTTCACACATTTGACTCCTTCTGGATAACGAATCTCTCGCTGCGTCCGCATCTTGCACTAGCCTCTAGTCTTCTCTTCTTTACCCTTCTGTATTCTTCTGTCATATTTTGGCTTCTTCTGGTCAGTTCTCTCTCTGAAGTAGGTTCTGGTCGAACCGTATGGAAATCACCTCCTTAAGGGTTCTCTTTTTGCGTCTCCGATATAGCTGTCCATTTCTCTATCCGTTGCCTAGGAGACGTCTTCAGTAGTTCCTCTGTTGTGATTACTGAGACCTTCGCTACTAAGCAACGGCAGTTCTGTTGTTGACGGCGTTACACGGGTTTTCTGGTTCCATACCTTAATGCTTTGAGCAGCCCGTTACAGTATGTTCTGAGGATGACACAGTGCAGAGAATCACTCTGGTACTGCCTTATTTGTAATTGGTTACGACCAGTTCCTTCCAAATTCTTTCAAAACGATGCTTTTCAGTCGCCCTGTACCTACGTTCTGCTGCTGAGATGGTATTATTACATGAATCAGGAAATGAAATTGCGGAGAATTTTTCCAAGAATCACGACATACTTTCTGAGCAAGTTTTAATGCAGATCCATTCTGTACTCAGTACACCAATGAAGGATATCAGAGATTATCGAAGTTAATTCACGAATTAATTAAATGCAGATTTCATACGAGGAATGCTTGTTCCAGTTCAGTTCAGATAATTATGCTTTCCTGTCTTCTGTGTTTTGTTTTGTATGGACGTGAAACTTGCTGCAAGCCTGAGGTAGGAGCATGGATTGAGGGTGTTTGGAAACAGGGTGCTGAGAAAAATATTTGGATTTCACAGGGGGTTCGAAGACTTCAGATTTAGTGATGGAAGGGAAACACCAAGATAACAGTGCAAGTAAATTTACAGAAGTCAAATAGGAAGTACCGTATTTACGCACGTATAGGCCGCACATTTTTTGCCAAAAATTCAAGAGGAAAACTGGGGTGCGGCTTATATTCGAAATCACACTTCATTTAAAAGAAATATATTCATAATTAGTAATACAGGGTGTTCTACTCCTGAAATAATATTCCAAGAAAATTATTTTTTCTATAATTTCTGTCTGAAAATTGTGCTGCGGCCTATACATGCGTAAATACGGTATTTAATGGCAGGGACATTTGGTTTACTAGGCGTAGACAGGAGGATAATATTAAACTGGATCTTTAAGGAATAAGTTTTGGTGGTGTGGACTTCATTCACTTGGTTTAGGGAGGGGATTAATAATGAACTCACGTAAACACGATAATGAACCATTGGTTTCCATAAATCAAAATATCTCTACTAATTTAGCGACCATTAGCTTCTGAAGAAGGTTTACGCGCTTACCAGAAGCGCGTGTTGTTAGCAGTGTTCTTTAGTTGCTACAGAAATATGTGTACGTGTGTTGCAGTCTAACCTGACGCACCTCCCCCGCCACGAGTATGTTCCTGGAGTGGGTATGGGGATTGCCAAGTGCCCTTACGATCCAGCCGACAACTCGACGGCTCTGTGGGTGGAGAAGGGAAACCCGGGGGAGCTGCCCGGCCTCTACAGCGGCACGAACGCAGAGTTCACTAAGGCGGACACAGTTATCTTCCGAACTGATCTTCATAACCTGACCACGGGACGGCGAGAGTACAGCTTCAAGAGAACCTTGAAGTACGACTCCAAGTGGCTGGACAGTGAGTACAGATTTGGGACGTGCTGAGAAGTAGTAGCGGTCAGATGGGAAGCTTAACAGGTGTTTTGTATGTGCAGAGGACCGTCTCTGCGGTCTAGTGGTCAGAGTTCATGGCTACAGATCCAGAGTGCCCGGGTTCGATTTCCGGCGCTACCAGATTTCCTGAGAAGTAGAGGGCCTGGAACGAGGTTCACTCAGCCTCCTGAGGATAATTGAGGAGCTACTTGAAAGGAAAATAGTGGCTCCGGTCTAGAAAACCGAAATTAACGGCGGTGGGGATCCGTTGCGCTGACCACGCGACACCCTCTATCCGCTAAAGTTTGCACTAACTTCGCCGATAGGCGGCGGTCGCTCGGTCGGTATAGTTCGCTTGCTGACTAAAGTCACTGAGTTTTTTTTTTGTATGTGCAGATATGAGTGATGAGAAAGGTAGGAGCTGTAGCACGCACTGGGGAGATGAGATATGTATACAAATATTAATCCGAAAATCCTGAATAAAGATGATACTAAAATAAATTTGGTGTTGCTGTGGATTACGATTCGTTTGGCTTGGGATAGGTCAGTGGCGCGGTTTCTGTGAATTCGGCCATGTACTTCCGGTTCTCATAAGAAAAACAGGCAATTTATTGACAAGTTCAGCAACTGTCAGATTCTGAAGTAGGGTTCTGATCGATAGGGTTAGTTATGCTCTAGGCGAGACTCCCATTCTCTTTAATATTGTCACGTGTTCGGGTTTCCGTGACCAATAATTGTGGATTCTAGATTTGATAATTAGATTTATTTGATGTTACTAACACAATTACACTCGGTTACAATAATTCACACATTCAACTATTTCTGGATGACGAATCCCTCACTGTTGTTTGCATCTTTTATACTTCACTTTTTGGGAGATTTCTCGCTTCTTCTTGCTTCTTCTCTTGGTTCTGGAGTCTCCTCTCGCTTCTGGCTTTCTGCGTCGTCTCTTGGTTCTGGAGTCTCCTCTCGCTTCTGGCTTTCTGCTTCTTCTCTTGGTTCTGGCGATTCCTCTTGCTTCTGGCACCCTGCTTCTTCTCTCGCTTTTGGCTTCTGAACTCTGCTCGCGAATGCACTCTGTTTTATATCTGCTTGGCGTACCTGCTAGGGGACACCGAGTCGAACAATTCATCCCTCCGTTGTCAGGATAACGATCCATCCGTTGCTTTGAGAGTAAACGTTTACCTAGCCGTTGTCCTGAATACATGTTTACAATTGTCACGTAGGCAACGATGCATTCACTGCTCTTATTATAGCAGAAACGTGCCTACCGAGCCGTTGTCTAGCAATGAACGCCCACTCCGACGTCAATATTCCGGTATTTAGGCGGCATGTCTCAATATGTTTTCGATCTCTGCTCTCCGCGAAAGAAAACTTGTACGCTTTTATTTGATTTCTATTTGCCATGAATGAGGCGTAAGGAAGTTCCTAGTTGAATATGCCCCATAGAAAGGAACGCCTATTTAGTCTGCGATGTGACATTCTTGGTTGAATGATTTTCATATTTCCGCATCCCCCCCCCCTCCTTAATATCTCCTGAAGAAAGAAATAAGAAGGATGATTAAAATTACATTGTAGGTATGAAGAGCGGTGAGGCCTGAAGATACGAAATACCGTTGCAGAAATTAATGCTGCTCAATTGGGGGGTGGGGGTTGGTGAACATAATTGAAATTTCCTCCCCCTTCATCCCCTGCATGCATTGCCGTGAAAGAACGTCATGGCGCGCCTTCGTGGAGCCGCAGGGGTTGAGGATGAGCCTAAAAGTCGTGTGTCATTCCCCTGTCTAATTATTCCAGGGCCTCTACGGTCAACAATAGACACTGTAATGTCAGGGGTGGTTGTACCCCCGTCAGAAAACCTTTAAGAGACGCGTAGGGGGGGATAGAAGTTTATAATTTGTTTTATTTAGCACATGGATGGTCGCTTGCTTTCTTTGTGTTGTCGAGCAGGAAGTGTTACGTCCCTTCCACAAATTGGCAATAAATTATTCGTAAGATCCACGGCTGAAGTTTTTACAATTTTGCCTTCCTGCTAATTTAATGACGCTGGACCAGTTAACGTTCTTTGCGTCTTAAGTGACATATCTGACCCCCGCTGGTACTTGATTCCTTTTGTTTTGACGTACCTTCATATTTACATTCTTCGACCATGGTTTAGCTATTTGTGTTCTACATTTCCTCACAGAGTTCATCATGATCATCACCAGCTTCAGGCCTCCTCCGGCTCAACTCTCTTTCCGTCTCTTCCTGGGTCTACCTACGTTCAGTTTTTTCTTATGTGTTCGTAATTGTTCTAGTGGTCAGAGTTCCTGGCTACAGATCCAGAGGTTCGGGTTCGATTCCCGACGCTATCAGATTCTTTCTGAGTGGTAGTGGATCTGGAACGGGGTCCACTCAGCCTCATGATGATAATTGAGGAGTAACTTCAAGGAAATAGCGGCTCCGGTCTAGAAAACCGATATTAACGACCGTGGGGATCCATTGCGCTGATCTCGTCACACACACTCTATATGTAAAAGTTGGCACTAACTTCGCCGACAAGCGGCGATCGCTGGGTCGGTATATTTCGCTTGCGGACTACAGGCCACAGTTTTTTTATATTATATAATAATATGGAGTGTGGCCAGGACATTGTGCACGGGCTTAAAGTGCAAGGCACCAGACATGTGATTAAATATGTCTTTTCTTTTTATTGTAACTCCCCCAGATGCATTGTGTTGTGCTTGGTTTACTTATAGATGGCTCATGTTTTTTATTTGAAGTTTGAGACCAAGTTGAGTTTCCAAAACGTTTTGAATAAAAATTAGGACGATGGGTGTCAAAAAAATAATTGTTATAATATTCTTTTGAACGTTACGCATTGCCTGACGTGTATCTGGTGTAGACGATATTTCAGAAACAGGCTGTACTCCTGTCTTCAGATATCGTCAAATGTAATATTTTCACATATCTTAAGATTTGTAGCGACGGCTGTGATCCAACCCAGGACCTTTTGAATACTAATCCAGTACGCTTTATGTATTCCAACGTGACGTTGGATTTGAAATGAAGCTTACAGCCTCGGGTGCTGCTGGGTGTTACTGTTCTGTCTGGCTCTGCAGAGGATACCCCTGGATCACGTATAAATAACGTGGCAAGGAGACACATTCCTGCACGGGTCCTGACTCACAAAATTGGCTGCGGCGCGTATGGGAAGGTAGATAGGACGATCCATCACCCAGCACGATGTAGACCTCGCCATATTAGTCATTAGCGTTACCACACGACGTGGTATATAGAACAGAATCTCTTCGTTTGCTTTAGAAAGGGCTTCAGACGGGTCGATCCACCCTGTTTTAAATTTGTTTTCGAATTCGTTTAACCTCTTCATTGTTGATGGGGGCACGCGGTAGCGTAGATGGTTGGGGCACAACATTTTTTCTAATTGCTTGTTTTGCTCATATCTCACCGAAGGTTACTTTTCGAATGGCTGTCGTATATACACCCACACACACACACACACACACACACACAGTACACCCTTCAATGCAGGTTCGCAGATTATTGGCCAGTCACCAAATGGTCCATGTTTCTATGTAAATTCTGGACATATTTCGGCCACACAGGGCTGTCATCAAGTGAATGATGATTTTCTTAACAAGAACGAGTTTGGTCTTTTCAAAACAATAAACGTAATGTTGATAGTATTACAACGCACTATAGCAGTTTACGCAAATCATCATACGCACCTAATGATGACCATGTATGGCTGAAACATGTCGTGAATTTACATGAAAACATGGAATAGGTGGTGATTCTGCCATAATCTGTGAAGTTGCATTTGAGACTGTATCGCATATGTAAAAAGTATTCTTTCACAATTTCCTTAAAATATATACATACCGATCCAGACTCGTGACAGGTATTTCTGTTCCCCAAATTAAAATGTCTCCCCCAGTTGGAGTCACATCAGATGTCTAAATGGGTCATGATTTAAGGTTACTTTTTAATCTAAACGTAACAGAGGGTGAAATCCCTGATAGCTGCTGCTGAAGAAGAAGAAGAAGAAGGACGAGAAAGCTGTACACAGAAACTAAATATGATTTTGTTTACAAGTTTGTCACATTTTACAGCTGAATTAGCTTTTTCGCTATTTCATCATCATCATCATCATCATCATCATCATCATCGGTAATCTGTCAAGACGACAGGTCCACATCTCTTCCAAAACAATTTCTCCACTTAATGCGATCTAGAGCTTTCTCCTTCAAATGGCAGTATCATCTTCTGTCCCCAAGGTCATCCAGCATCTTCTTACGTCTTCTGGCCACTTCTATCCGCCCCTCTATCTTTCCTTCAGTAACTTCTTTTAGAAGGCAGTTTCTGCGTAAAACATGACCAATCCAATTAGCCTTCCGTTTTCTTATTTCGTGTAGGATATTCCTCTGCTCACTGACTCTAATTAACACTTCTTCATTTCTCACATAATCGGTCCAACTGATCTTCTCCATCCTTCTCCAACACCACATTTCGAAGCGTTCCAGGTGTTTCTGATCTACTGCCCTAAGTGTCCATGTTTCAGCCCCATACAAAGCAATGCTCCAAATGTAGCATTTCACTAGTTTCTTCCTCAAATTTAAGTCCAATTTGCTGGTAAAAATTCTTCTTCTTGCTAAATGCTATTTTATATAAAGGTAAAAAGAAGGTAAAGCTATCCCTATAACAGGCCATGGAGGACCATAGGGTTGAAAGACATCGAGGCTTCCACATTTTCTAGACAATCGGCTCACAGATGGCGGTGAGGTCAGCCGTACGCGCCAGCCGCCATTTACCCCCAAGGAACATTCCTGGTACTCATTTGTGTTAGAGGCTGAGTCGAACCCAGGGCCATAGTGCGGCTGGAAGGATTAGGTTAATGGAAAAATCCACTTCATCGGGACTCGAAACCGCGAACTTCCATTTTGTAGCATTGTGCCTCGACCATCTACGCTACCGCGTGCCCCTTTC